GCAGAACGTCAACTAACAAGACAAGATAGGTTTGAATGACTTAACTGACATAAAATGCTCTCTAGCATCCATCTATTCTCAAGGCAGAACTGAAATGCAATAGAATACCAATCTGGTATGTAGTGCCTCCTTAGCAAAAAGATCTGCTGGGACTTGGGAGATCAAAACAAGCCACGGTTGTTTGTAGGTCAAAGTAATGAGGAGCGATTGATGAAAAAAGTTGAGAAGAATGACAGCTTGCAGAGAATCAGGATTATGACTCCCCTGAAATAACATTACTTCATGAAATAATTCAGATGTACTTGACTCTCCCATATTTGGATAATAATCTATGATGACTCAAAGGCATTGCCAGAGAAAATTTACTGATGCAGTAAGGCTTGGTCCTCCCTGGAAAAGTGAAGTGAAAAACATGAGTCAATTGTTTAGGTAAGTCAGCTTAAAATATCATGACGATGGAGACAATAACTAGGCTTTTTGTAATTCTACCTGCCTAGATTCATTTGCATATTAGGGTCCTGGATCCCAGTGGGAATTACCTCCCCACTAAAACACAGAGGAATCAAACTAAATCATACTAATAACATAGAAACCATAGGTTGGAATTCTATAACTTCCCAAACCATCTTTCTCCAACTTACCTATAATGATGCCTTTGGTTACTCTCTCTAATTGAGCCTACTGTATTGGGGGAAAAATCTTGTCCTCACTCAGCATTATGCTCTGACATTTATCTAAAATGACAAGTAAAACTCACAGTCTCTCACCCTAATATAAATATCTATGATTGGTATTAGTAAGCATTTATCAAAACTAAAGCACACTTCTGAGAATGTGATTAGAAGGAGCACAAATCTATCTTTATAGTACCCAATTAACATCAGGTAAATAGAAAATATATTAAATCTTAATCTGAACACATTATTTGAATCATACATCCTTTACCCAGATATTTTCATTCCACACTTTTCTCTCTAGGTCTGGTCAAAATGCAACTCAAGAAAATCTATGACATTATGAAGGGGGCTACCTCACACATGAGATCTTTTTTGTATCCAATTTCCTTCTATTAAAATTTAATTCAATCTGGATGCGGAGAAAAAGGAATCCTCGTGCATTGCTGGTGGAAATGCAGACTGGTGCAGCCACTGTGGACAACAGTATGGAGTTTCCTCAAAAAACTAAAAATGGAACTCCCATTTGACCCAGTGATCCCACTTCTAGGACTATATCCCAAGAAAACAGAAACACCAATTAGAAAGGATATATGCACCCATATGTTCATAGCAGCACAATTTACCATAGCTAAGATTTGGAAACAGCCTAAGTGCCCATCAGCAGATGAGTGGATTAAAAAACTGTGGTACATCTACACAATGAAATACTACACTGCTGTAAAAAGGAACTCCTACCATTTGCAACAGCATGGATGGACCTGGAGAGCATTATGCTAAGCGAAATCAGTCAGAGAAAGGTAAGTATCACATGATCTCACTTATTTGTGGAATATAATGAACAACATAAACTGATGAACAAAAACAGATCCAGAGACAGAGAAGCATCGATCAGACTGTCAAACCTCAGAGGGAAGGTAGGGGAGGGTGAGGGTAAGGGGGAGAGATCAACCAAAGGACTTGTATGCATGCATATAAGCCTAACCAATGGACATAGACACCAGGGGGGTGAGGGTATGAGTGGGGGTGTGGTGGGGGAAAGGGGGTAAGGACACATATGTAATACCTTAATCAATAAAAAAATTTAATTTAATCTAAAATTTTCCCCCCTACAAGTACATAAATGAGAATTGGCTTGAGACCTGGAGATGAATTTGACTTGTGGCCTTAAACACTAGAGAATTAATGACAACCCCTCTAGTATTCTCTCATGATTAAAGAGCCACAACAAAAACCCTAAACCAAACATTAGGAGAGGATATCTTTCTTTTCCCCAAACATGGGTAATGTGAAAATACAAAATATTTCCATCCAGCACAAACATGAGAGGAAAACAAAACAAAACAAAAAGGAAATGAAGAGGCAACTGGTTACAGGTATATCTCAAGCTAAAACATAAATAAAAGGGTCAAGACACACACACAACACACACACACACACACACAGAGAGACATACACACACATGAATAAAGTATTCAGGAAAACATTAGCTCTCAGTTTCTTTTATTAAGATAACAATATGAAACTGGTTCAGGGACAATTTTTGAGCACTCAGACTGGAATTCTAAGGACTAGATTTGCTACATAATGGTCATCTATGGGAATTTGTCATAATGAAATAAAAGCAAATGTAAGAAGAATTATCTTCTCTCCCAAAAGTTCCAAGCATAACAAGTTGCATTTTTAGACATGTTTGTTTTATATTACACAGATCAATTTTATATTGACTATGGCCTGAAATTAAAGTGATAGCTAATTTAGTAGTCAAGCACTTGGTCTTGCCACGCTCTGCATACATTGTCAAGTTTCACACTGCTAATTTTCCAATGAACAGTTTTGTTTTTAAATGCCCCAAGGCCAATTACTGAGCCCAAACATAAACTTTGTAAGTAAAGAAACTCCAAGCAGCAAGAAAGTTTAAACACACATCATCGGATTCTAATGTTCACTGTAGCTCCTCTAGTTTTAGAATCTATTCTCTTATATACTTACCAGTTTTTGTAATACTGTTTTCATTTTGATGAGTCACAGTGTTCAGAATACCCAATTTATTAATCATAGAAGATTGCTCATATCCACTCTGGTCAGTCTAGCAGGATATGTTTATCTTACATGTTATTAACAATATAACTATTTCTTAAAAAAGAGTCCTTTTCAAAATACTTCTAAACATATGTTTTGTTAGAATACAATATATGTTTGATAATTATGTTTATATAGGGTAGCAGCAAACTTGATAAATACTGATTTGAAAGTGAAAATACCTGAAGTTTACACATGCCATGAACAATTCATCAATGTCATTCATTGTTTTGCAAAGTATTATCTTCTCCAAATGAAGCGTAATTTATAAACTGAAGAAATATAACAGTCGTGTTATTGGCAAATATATTTATTCACTTTTATTAGAAGGGGGACTTTAACAGTTGTGTGAAATAATTTTGTCTGGAAGAATAAAAGATTTCAGGGAAGCATTTCTTTGGGGAAAAGAAAGTTTACTTTTGTTTTAGAAGTTGTAATATGTATGCATACAGAACTAACAGAGAGATGAGTGGCCTAATTAGGGTCATTGTAAATGCCTATTGTAAAAGTAACTAAAAAGAAATCATACCTTACTTGGGAAGAGATCAAGTTTTTTGTTATTTGGTTTTAGGTGGTAAATTAGGCACAAATCTCAGCTCTCCTTGTCAATGAAGATTTTGTTAGTCAGTGGTAAACTGTTCAAAATGAAAGGTGATAGAAGCATCTCTTTGCATTGGAAAACATGTAATACAATGAAATCTGAAAGATAATTCCTTTTCCTTCTTTTGTATTAAATTTTAAATAATTTATGATGAGATTTACAGATTTCTTTCTGGGAGATGTTATAATGATCCACCTTTTAGAGCAAGTACATCATAGTCTAAATGTATATTAGCTATCTACCAAGATCTCCCTTTGCCATCTCATTAAAGTGAAATTAAGTTAGGTAAATCCCACACTATGCTACATTTTAAAAAACCTGTTAAATGAGCCTTTTTTAGTTAACTTAATAAGTCAAATCAAATGTAACTGAAAGTATTTAGGTCAGGAATACAAGATTATGTATTGTCACTTTTAAATGAGAAGGTAATTTAGAGCTACTTTAAAGTTTATTAATTAAATGTGAGTCACCAATCTTCATTCTGAGAAGCTGTTAGATTTAAATATATTAGAAACCTGCTCCTTCAACTCTGTTTAAGACTATTAAAATAAAACAGACAAAAAGTCATAGCTATACCCTAAATAACTTTATATGTATCACTGGTTGCTATGACAGTTTACATGAAAACCATCACATATAATATGGTAAGTGCCCATAATCAGAGAAAACCACATAAAACATTAATCCCCAAAAGATGAGCACATAGTCCTTTCTAACAAATACTGTACATGGTATACTCAAATGTACTCCTGAATTCTGAACCTTTGTTTTTAACTAGTATACAAACCTACAGATAAAATACAGAATTTTTTTTTCAGATTTACTTATAAGGCTAAAACATGTAAATTGTATAGTTACCCTCTCTATATGCATTGACCCTGAGATATTTCCTCTTTTCTAGCTCAAACAAAAGCAACATAAGTTATTTTACACTACAATCTAAAGTTTATAAAGAATAACACGGGAAATTATACTTGACTGGATTCTATCCTGCCCAAAATAATACAGTGAGTCAAATATTTGTTTAAAAAACTTCTCATTGTTCCATTGAGTGCATTTCTATATCACCTGATGGAAAGGCTTTTTGAGAGATTATAATATATTGCAAGCTAATTGTAAGCAAACAGTATACTTTATCATCAAATTTAAAGCTGTAAAAGTCATAATTTTTTTTCCAGTATTTCATAATTGGATTTACTTCTAATTATCATCTATTTGATAAAGTACTTAACTGTAATAGGGGAATTTGGTTTTTCAGTAGTCTTGTAAATAAGCACAAAGTAAATTAATCTTTATTATTTTTAAAGAAAATTACAAAATCTATAGCTTTGATTTGTATTTAACTATTTCACAACTGGCCCAAATCTTAAAGGTGTCACTCACCACTTCCCCTCCTCACCCTCCCAACCCCAGTTTAGGTTTCCTATTATTTGGTGACTGTTTACAAACAACACTGAAGCCTCTTCATGAACTTTGTATGCTAAGCATTTGCTTAGAAATCTCATTCATATCAAGGGTTGGAAATGAGTCTTGGGTTAACCAGTTAAGACAAACCCTTAAGTGTGGGTCTAGGGTGGGAAAATCACAGGGAGGTTCCTGTGGGAGTTGAGGAAGTTGGGAAGACTTGACTTGAGAAATCTCACCTTCTGAGCTGCTTTGGAGGGACTCTTGTTTTTGCTGCCTTTGGGTCTTCCCCTGGGTCTCTTAGGAGAGGGCTCACCAGTTGGCTCCTAATTGTGGAGAGAAAAAACGAACACGTTGTTGTGGCAAGGATGTCTGCAAGAAACTGACCCTGACTCTGTAGTTACATTTTCTGCAGGTGCTGCTCCACTGAACTGTTGGAACACATTCAGTTCAAGCATCAATAGGAATGGTGGCTCAGAGTTTTCAGAAAGGGGCAATAACGCTCCTTTTCATCCAAGGGCTCAAAGAGGAAATGGTTATTTTACATATGAAAACTAGATTCTATTCCAACCCTACCAAGGTAACAAAGGATGACAAGTTTGCATGTTCTAGAAAGAAAGTCATACATTGAGGTGAAAAAGTTGCATGGTTATGCATTTGGCAACTCAGCCATAAGCATTTTATACAAATACTACTAGCCATTGCACTAGCATTTCAAACAGAAATACGAAGCTAACATCATAAATATTTCAGCAATCTTCCCTACTGAAAGATGGTTTTTAATCATCTCTATATATCTGCATTGTAGTCAACACATTGAGTGAAATATTGGAGCAATTATCCAAGTTCTTCAACTCAAAACAACTCCATTCCCCTTAAAATTCCCAAATAATTATGTTAAATCTGTTGTGGGAGGTTTTGCTTGAATTATCTAGATAATTGCTTCAATTCTCCACTTCCTTTTGGAGATTCAGGCATGGTCTCTAGTCTAAATTTAAATATCTTTGATAAAAAGGAACAAACTCCCCAAAACTTTCTTTTGAGAAAACTGCTATGGGGGTGAACTGGAGAAAAATAAAGGTGGGGGGGATAAGGAGGAATGGAAGTGTCTGGGAAGGAGAAATTGAAACTATCAATAGGTTTAGCAAAACTTTAAATGGCTTCTATGCCAAGTGGTAAATACTCAAGTGGTTAAGAGAATGTGATGATTAATATTCCAGTTCCTAAATATTTATCCAGTGAATCATCAAATTACATTTCATTCAGATTCGGTGATTAAATGAGACTAATTAACTTAAAACTCATGAAAGTCTCCAATGAAAATTCGCATCCTACTGAGAGAACCTGGGGAAGGTTACTCAAAGCTTCCGTGGGACCACTAGCGCCAGTGGGCACATCCGGAGCAAACACATCGGAGACACATTTTCCTTTCTTTGTGAACTCAGCCTCAACTCAAAGGTAAAACCTCCAATCACCTCCAGACCCCACTGCAATTTCTTTTCCATTATTTTTTGGAGGCGGGAGGCAATTAGAAGAGCTAGAGAGAGCTGGGTGGCGGGTGGGAAACAAGGGTGGGGGGTGAGGGGGGGGACAGGCAGGGACTAGCTGGGAGGTGTAAAACAGGGTCCGAACGCGGTATAAAGTGTCGCTTGGGCAGAGCGGGAAAACTCGGGGGCCTCTAGATGGGCTTGTTTCCTTTGATGATTTCAAAAAGGTACAACCCTCTCCGTTTTCCTAAAACGCGCTGGCAAGCAAACATTGTTCGATACCGCCACTGTGCTCTCTCTCGGGCGGCTTTGGGAGTCTAGGATAATTTTCTAACCAGCCTACTTGCCATGAAGGAAGCTTTTTAAGGCTACGGAATGAAGAAGTTTTAAAAGCCCGCGGAAGCGAAGTTTAAATGTTCTCAATGGACATGTCCCGCTCCAGCCCTGCCCGCCAAGGCTGGGAAATTGCAGCGAACAAAACCCCCCCGCCCTGGGCGCTGCGCGCAGCCTTGCAAGCGCCGGCTGCACGCTTAATTGGTTGCATCCGCAGACAAAACCCTCCACTCCGCGGGGTCCCGGGCGCCCCTCGATCTTCCCCTCCCAACCCCCCAGCCAATCGCCCTGTAGTAACACATTTAATGTCTGAAGCTCTGAGGCGCGGGATCTAGGGGCAAAAGGGAGACCCGGCGCCGGGCGAGGAAGTGACCCCAGCTACGGTGCACCCTCTCGGACATTACTTTCCTTCGCGCCCTTGGCCAACGAGCTAATCCCGTCCCTTGCGGACCCAGACTCTCCGGTAGCCCCTTCCCCGGGACATCTCGGCGGCGCCCGGATTTAAGGAGCAGAGAAAGGAGGGCGGGCCCAGGGTCCTTGGTGGGGGAGGGCGAGAGTCGCCGGCCCACCAAAGCATTGGGGAAGGGCCCAAAAGGGGGGGTTGCCGGGAGACGAAAACCCGGGCCCGCTAGCAGCCCGGTATGGCGGGAGAAAGAGCCCACGAACGGCCCCCGGGACTTCAGCCCCTCCAACTCTGCCCCTCCAGAGCATCCTAGCCCCTCGCACTTCCTTCTCCCGGGGCAACTGTAAGGCGGTGAGGAAAGCGTCTGCGAGCCCTGGAAGGTCGGACCCCGGCCGCTTCCAGTCGCCAGGAGCTCCCGCGACACTCCGGGCGGTGCACAATAGCGAAAGTCCGAGGACACGCTGCCTCCGACCCCACCTCCCGCCGCCCGGCCCGGCTCCCTGCCTCCTCGCCCGGAGGGGCGCGGGCGTCCCCGGCTCTGCCGCGCACGGGAGACCGCAGCTCTCCTCCGGCCGGGGGGCAGCGCGTGGCGGCCGTGGCGACTGGACTCGCGGGTTCGAGTGGCCGCGCGTCGCGGGGGCTCTCGTCAGAGGGGCGAAGGTGGGCTGGGGCTTCCACTCCGTCGGGGTACTGACTTGCTGCTGCTTCTTGGGTCGGCCGCGTCTTCTCTTCTGGGCGGGGGGGCGGCAGTTGTTCTGGGTCTGAAGTGGACGGCTGCTCGGGCGCTTTCCTCGCGTGCGCTCATCTGGCTCTGCCGCTCGCGCGTTACGGCTTCGCGGTGTTACTGACGTTGCAGCCGCTTCTCCTTAGCTGCCTCCAATCGGCCCGCACCTTTCGGGAAGTATTTGATCGGGTTGGAGAAGCGGGCAAAGGAAGCGAAACGCCGCGTGCTGCAGGATTGTGTTTAAACTGTGCGCGCCTGCCCCATCAAACCCGAATGTCCAGCGGTTGCTAAAAAAAGA